CTATCAGAGAATTTAATTGAACTAAAAAGAGTATTATATTCAACTACTTTTATGTTCTAATTAAAAAGAGTATTATATTCAACTACTTTTATGTTCTAATGACCTTTTTTTTAACATAAGCTTATTAGGTAGAAAGCTATAGTGTAAAAGGTTTTAGTCATTGATTATGACTTGTTCAGCTATATATGCGGATATGATAAATAAAAAAATTGGAAAAGTTTATAGCCCTTGGTTATAGCTTTAGTCGATATTATTCTTAAAAAATATATTCAGAAAGTGGTAAATAGATGAAATTTGACACATTTTTTTTTTTAATTGTCGGCGAGGCACATTCTATTATTACTTATTATACCTTATTAGTAGCATATCAAATTCACAGCTTCAAAAAAAAAACAAAAACATATCTAATTCACACAGCTAGCTAGCAGCCTAGCACACTCGAAATTGAGGATATCTTTGAATGAAAGATTACACATTCATAATAAATAAATACTGAAATACAAATAGTAACATCATCAATCTTTAAACGTTACCAGAAAACAACATAAACTGAAAAAGTTAAAAGTACACTATTCTTACCCTTATGCGCAAAATAATTATCAGATTTTGTTTTTTTTCATCATTTTCTTCCGTTTGATATGATATTTTTTTGTTTGGTTATCTGATGAAACTCTAATATAATTGTCGAAACTCCAAGAAGTGACGATTACATATGTCGAAATTCTAAAATACTTGTCGGATGATGTACATATATTTTTAGAAAAATCGATTTAGATACTTACATATTGTTCAGTTCTTTCCAAAAAATGAAAATTTTCAACCGCGATTTTGTGGTTCCTTGGAAAACTATAAAATTTCTATACCGCCGGTTTAAAATATAATAACAACATTGCGAACCTATTCGTAAATATATTACGAAAGATTCATTTGTACTTTTTATAAATAAACTTTGATCTCACACTTGATATATGCACAAAAATCAGGAGTCACACGGAAATGATAAATCGTTTTAAGGTATGGACATACACAGAGGGAGAAGTTCCATTGTTCCATGACGGTCCTGTAAACGACATTTACGGTATAGAAGGTCAATTCATGGACGAAATGTGCGTCGAGGGACCAACGACTAGAAGCCATTTTCGGGCGGATCACCCTGATAATGCGCATGTTTTCTTCCTACCATTTAGCGTCGCAAAGGTCATCCACTTCGTCTACAAGCCCATCACCTCTGTCGAAGGTTTTTCGCGGGCTCGCCTACACCGCCTTATCGAGGATTATGTTTCCGTAATTGCAACTAAGTATCCTTATTGGAATAGAAGCCAGGGAGGTGACCATTTCATGGTATCTTGCCATGATTGGGTACGTACTCTTTTTGTTTATGTGTTATCTCATTATCAAAATCTTAACTAATTTTTGTTAGTAAACAAAATTATTGAATTCAAATATTTACTTTCTAAATATTATTACATTTGTTTTGTGTATAGGCACCAGACGTGATCGATGGGAATCCAAAGTTGTTTGAAAAATTCATAAGGGGACTTTGCAATGCTAACACCTCGGAAGGATTTAGACCGAACATAGACGTATCCATTCCCGAGATCTACCTTCCTAAAGGTAAACTGGGTCCGTCTTTTCTCGGAAAATCACCAAGAATTCGATCTATACTAGCATTTTTTGCTGGAAGAACACACGGTAACATCCGAAAAATCTTATTTAAACACTGGAAAGAAAAGGATAATGATGTACAAGTTTATGAACGTCTTCCCCCTGGAAAGGACTATACCAAACTAATGGGAATGAGCAAGTTTTGTCTATGTCCGAGTGGTTGGGAGGTCGCTAGCCCAAGGGAGGTCGAGGCGATATACGCTGGTTGTGTACCCGTGATCATATCGGATAATTATTCATTACCATTCAGTGATGTGCTTAATTGGGACTCCTTCTCCATACAAATCCCTGTTTCAAGGATAACAGAGATCAAAACGATTCTTGAGAGTGTCTCTCTTGTAAGATACTTGAAGATGTATAAGAGAGTCTTAGAAGTGAAGCGGCATTTCGTGTTGAATCGTCCAGCTAAGCCCTATGATGTGATGCATATGATGTTTCACTCTATCTGGTTAAGACGACTTAATCTTAGGCTTACTCCATGATATATTTTTTTACAAATAAATCATTGCATGTGTGTTACCAGCTTTGTATTCATTCTATTATTGAGATAACTCTCTCTTGTAAATAATATACACAATACCAAACACAAGAAATAAGAGCTTAATATCAATAAGAGAAACAAAGCATTA